AGAACTATAAGACACTAAATAGAACTGTAAGATATTAAATAGAACTGTAATATACTAAATAGAACTATAAAATATTAAATAGAACTTTAAAATATTGAATAGAACTGTAAGATATTAAATAGAACTGTAAAATATTGAATAGAACTGTAAGATATTAAATAGAACTTTAAAATATTGAATAGAACTATAAGACACTTAAATAGAACTGTAAGATATTAAATAGAACTTTAAAATATTGAATAGAACTGTAAGATATTAAATAGAACTGTAAGATATTAAATAGAACTATAAGATATTAAGTGGTACTATAAGATATTAAATAGAACTATAAGACACTAAATAGAACTGTAATATATTAAATAGAACTGTAAAATATTGAATAGAACTGTAAGATATTAAATAGAACTATAAGATATTGAATAGAACTATAAGATATTAAATAGAACTATAAGATATTGAATAGAACTATAACATATTAAATAGAACTACACACCCTACCTTGAAAGTTCTTATATAGTTCTAACTCATCCCTTTCTCCTGAAGATATATGACACGGGAACACCGAGACGTACATACCATCACCCCATCATAAACATCATCAAAACTTATGTTTTTATCGATGTCCCGGATTGTTACTTTCCAGCGCCCAGTTTCATCGAAGTCGTGATTTTCAACAACTTTCAGAATTTCATGTCTATAACGGATGTGTTGACCCAGGTCAAACTTTTCAGCGTACATTTCAATGTACCTGATCATGTAACTGTTATGCATGTAATTGGGAAATTCTTTCGGGGGCGGGAAGTCGCTGTAGGCGCTCATTTCTTTACTGCTGTTGATAATTGTAGACCTCATCACAGAGGCTAAGCCGTCTGAATCGTCATCTCGATATCGCCAAAGTCCACCAAGCTGGTCAGTTTTCTCAAAGCAAACTGGTTCCAACCCCTCTTCTAGACACGCTTTGATGGAGGTCAGTCCGCTGGACCCTCCACCGACGATACAGACCCGTTTGGTACCTGCCATTTTTTTGTCTACCTTACTTAGCTCCCGAGCTTGTCGTCTGTACAGGCAACAGATTTTTGATGTGAAGTGTTATTGGTTATTTCATGAGATATACATAAATGAGTGAAATCCATCTAAGGAAAGCGCCGCTTAACATTAAAGGCGGAGTATAAGTACGGTTTGACCAATACGAGATGAAACTACAGACGTCACCGTCTTGAACTGTTTCTCCATTGCTTCATTTTTTGTGGCACTCACAAATATAACTGGTACTCCACTTCTTTAGGCTTCCGTAAACAACGTGACCCCCAGTACGACGACCTACATGCGAACACCTGTATGTGTATCTTGGCACGTACTTGAAAACATCAGCGCACTCATAGGCTGCTTAGAATTATAATTTTCGAAATAATTTCACCGTTTCTGAGGTAGAATGGATTCGTAATCTATATGGAAAATATATATATATATCTAATTTTTAATTAGATACCAATATCTTTATAAACTAGAATATATTGTAACTTATATGGCATTACTGTAATGCTCTGACTTGTTCGAATATTCTGATAAACAACCAATGGGTGGTATCTCCAGCACAATGTGCTTTATAAATCCGGATTTTTCAAACCAATGGATGGTACCTCCAGCACAATGTGCTTTATAAATCCGGATTTTTCAATCCAATGGATGGTATCTCCAGCACAATGTGCTTTATAAATCCGGATTTTTCAAACCAATGGTGGTATCTCCAGCACAATGTGCTTTATAAATCCGGATTTTTCAAACCAATGGTGGTATCTCCAGCACAATGTGCTTTATAAATCCGGATTTTTCAAACCTTAAAGTGTATTACTTACCTGAACATTGTCAAAAGCTTTACTGCCAGACTTTAAACGAGTTGTGTAATCTTCACCGGTACAGTTGATCTTGACGTTGGCAATATTTTCAGTGACTCACCTGATTGTGATTTAACTTTTATAGTCGGAGTGATAACGGCATTGGGTTTTTTTTTTAGATAGATCGGTGCCATCGTTTTGGTTGAATTAGGAACGTAATTAATAAAAGAATCCGTAATTAATAAAATAATGTATTCAGTAATAATCAGGAGGAGACAGGACTCACAATTAAAAATGATACATTATAATGTGTAGTATTTGTGATGTACTTCATAAAATTAAAAGTATGCAGATGACTCAAAAATAAACTCGTCGACGTTTCGAGCTGCTAGTACACGGTTCTTATGGTAGGGAGGAGTGAGTGGAAAACGAAACGTGGCCAATTCGCATGAGGTGGGTTTCGTTTGTTTTGAATTTAGCCCAAAGCTACACGAGGGATATCTGTGCTAGCCGTCCAGTGTAAGACTGGAGGAAAGGTAGCTAGTCATCACCAACCACCGCCAATCCTTTGGCTACTCTTTTACCAACGAATAGTGGGATTGACCATAACATTATAACGCCCCCACGACTGAAAGGACAAGCACGTTTGATGGGACGGTGATTCGAACCCGCGACCCTCAGTGGGTTAACGATAATTTTAAGAACTTACAATACTAAAATTCTGGGATCGATATCCCCTGGTGGACAAATGCCGTCATTAAAAATAAGTTTCAAAATTGGTTGTATAACTCAAATACAGTAAGAAATTTATAGCATCAATTGACGAGAATTAGTAGTGTCAGCAAGGTTTTGTTGATCTGTAAGCCTAAAAAAAAAACAATCGGCGGCTACTAAGTTACTTTATCGGTTTCTTAGTTACTAAGTCATTCCCAAATCTGAGGTGTTAATAAAATTTGTTTTGAACATTTTTTCTATCAGACTGTAACGTCTGATATCAGTATTAGGTGTGGGTAGACCAAGAATGTTACACCAAACCTAATATATCCAACATAACTCACAATAGAAGGAAGTTATAACAATAATGAGGTTCACACTAATTATTACTTTTGTAGAAGGTTGACTATTTTTGATAAAAGAGGATAATTTAATTTTCCTATTCTTGGTCTACTCATACCTAATAGTGTTATTTCGTGTATCATGTTAAAAGGTATTACTATATATATATCAACTAAAACGGCTCTTAATAGTTCGTAATAACCATACTTTTTTTATGGATAATGTTTTATTAATAAAAAATAAATTGAAAGATAACGAAGACAGGTAATTAAAGAAATACCTTACTTTATTTTTAATAAATACACAAAGAATATATTTTATAGATAAAATATAGAGGGAGTTAATTTATTTACCTTATAAGTAACTAATAATATTAAAATTTTATTCAGTATAACCGGGACGGAAAGACTAACTTCAAGTAGCTGGGCTAGGACATCACGTATTTCCCCATAGTCCAATCTTCCCTGGTATAGAGAAGTTTAAAGGGAAGGTCATTCACACACACAGTTACAAGAAACCTGATGGATTTAGTGATAAAAAGGTTGTAATTGTGGGTGTTGGGAACTCGGGAGGAGACGTAGCTGTAGAACTGAGTCAGATCGCTGACAAGGTAAGACTTAATTAGCCTCTTTTTTTTTTAAAACACGTGTTTAGACGACGTACTGACGAGGTCCTGAATAATTCAAACTAAATTATTTTGAAATACTAAAATTTAGGTATCAAAGAATTTCACTGGCCTAGTGGTTAGGACACTCGACTCGCAATCTGCTGCTCGCGGGTTCGAATCCTAGCTGTGGGTTCATTATAATGTGACGGTCAGTCCCACTATTCATTGGTAAAAGAGTAGCCCAACAGCTGGCGGTGGGTGGTGTTGAATATCATTGCTAAATTAGGGACGTCTAACGCTGATAAACTTTGGGCGAAATTCAAAACACACAAACCTTATCATTTCGAACAATGTGGTGTTTCTATTTCTAAAATTATTAATTCAGTTTTATTAAATTAAGACTGAGAACGTTATTAACATATCTTCTTTATTTAATGTCCCTTATGGATTTTTATTAACAAGGTTATAAAAGCATCTCGATCACACAAATGGTCTTACTGATATAAACTCTTACAGAAATCACTGGTAACAACTAATATAATATGCTAATGCTAGTTAACATGGATCTTTACGATGTCCACAATTTTGATCTGAAATACCTTAGGGAACTGTCTAATCGAGCGGTCGGCGAAAGGTTGCATGATTAGTGGGAAGTATGGTGTGTGGACCCCACTGTGGTAATTCGAGAATGAAAACAAATTTTATGTGTTCCTCGAAGAAACCACTTGTAATCCACTTTTAGGCTTTCTACTTCATTTGATTTAGATAAATGTGATTGTGTTGCAATATGTTGCATATAATAGACTATAAAACATGCTGTAGGATTCTGTGGATTAATTATTAGGCCTTATTGTGTTGTAGGATCCTGTAGATTCATTATTAGGCCTTATTGTGTTGTAGGTTTCTGTGTATTAATTATTAGGCCTTATTGTACTGTAAGATCCTGTAGATTCATTATTAGGCCTTATTGTGTTGTAGGTTTCTGTGTATTAGTTATTAGGCCTTATTGTACTGTAAGATCCTGTAGATTCATTATTAGGCCTTATTGTGTTGTAGGTTTCTGTGTATTAGTTATTAGGCCTTATTGTACTGTAAGATCCTGTAGATTCATTATTACGCCTTATTGTGTTGTAGGTTTCTGTGGATTAATTATTAGGCCTTATTGTAAGATACGTTTGGCCCTTGAGAAAGAAGGTCCAGGTTTCAAACGGAATAGTTTTATTTAAAAAAAAATTCAGCTATGACATTTAAAATTCATATACGTATAAGACAGAAGAAAATAGTCGTGCATGTTTTGAATTCGTTGTTTTTTTAGTGATTTTGTTTGGTTCCAATTCTTAAAACTTGAAATGCTTGTGTATTGTGTCCATATCTAGCTTTACATACTATTGTTTCCGGTAAAATCAAAAACTTATCCAAGATTTAATAAAACTACAAGTTTGGATAAGCGAATCTTAATCATTAAACTACTGTTTTTCAAATATAAATAAATATTACGAAATACTGTGTGTTAGTTCGTCAATGAAACAGAATAAAACTCACGACAGTTTTTATTTTGATGTAGTCAAAATTTATAATTCAATAATTCTTAAACCTAAACCTATTGCTTTCACCGACATGTTTAGTTTAGACGGTTTTTTTTTGATATAATTTTATAACTGTTCTTAGATGTGATTTGTTTGTTTCGTGCATTTCGCGCAAAGCTACTCGAGAAAAATCTGCGTTAACCGTCCCTAACTTAGCAGTTCTACCACTCGAGGGAAAACAACTAGTTAACACATACCATCGTCAACTCTTTACCAACAAATAGTGGGATTGAACGTATAATTATGATGTCCCCACGGCTGAAAGGACGAGAATGTTCGGTGACGAGATTACGAACTCGCTACCCACGTGGTTGCGAGTCGAATGCCCTAAC